CGAACAGCCGGGAACGGTGACCCGACGCTAATGCCTGACCAGCCGTCGTTGACGATCGCCATACCGCAGTCCAGAACCTACGGCGCTTCGACCTCCTCTCCCGCTCCGAGAGGTGGGGATCGAGCGGCCGTGCCAGAACACGCCATGGTCAGGTTGGGCGCGCGCAGTCACTTCAACGGTCGTCGCTCAAGACCGCGACGGGAACAGATATTCTCCGTCAGAATGCGCCTGCACCTCTTTGGCATTCCTGAGGATCCCGTTGGGCGTCCGTCAGGCCAAGTCCCCCCATGCGCCGCTGTCGTCCTGCGCTTTCTTCCTGCAGGCCGGCCTATCTATCCACGATGCTACCAGGCTTTCCGGCCCAGTCAGTTTATGCGCGACCTTGCGAAATCGGCGATGTCGAATGCCTCGTTTTTGTTTCCCCGGGTGGGACCGGGACACGTTGCTTGGACGCCCAAGTCGCTCCCCGGGGCCTCTCGTCCCGGGGCCGGAGCACAGTGCATGCACGTGTGCGTCGTCCTCGTCATATAGTGCGCGTTTTGTGGCTTTTCCAAGATGGAACCCGACGGAACACGTTTCCTCGTCCGTCGTCTCGCGACACGGCCCCTGTCAAGAGAGAGTACGCGAGGCCGTTTGACCAATCGGTATGCAGCTGCGCGCCGAAGTCGAGGAAAAGGGATCCGCGGAGAGACGACCACGAGAACAACACACACAAAAAAAAAAGGCGCACCCAACAAAAACGAGCGCGCGCCCACCGCTGGAATCTCTAATGCGAGAAACACGACGGATGTGACTGCGACAATTCAGACTTTGGCCGGGACTGAAAATGCTACTAACCATAACATAAAAAAGGAGGCATTTTGAAAACACAAAAATTGCCCTCTTCCTTCTATCACCCCTTTTTTTTTTTCCTTTTTTGCTCTTTGTTTTGCTCTCCGTTTTGCTTCTTTTGCGTGCTTGTAGTTTCTTCTTATTCTTAATCTCTTTTGATGCTTACTTCCTCCCTTTGTTATGGTTGATCCGGCGCAGTGACACAGGCAACTGCGATCGTTCCAGATCACGCCGCGGGACGGCGCTTGAGCGGGCATGTACACAAGTTCTCTCCCGGCCCACCCAACACACACACACGCACACGCACACACGTACACACACACACACACACACACACACACATACACACACACACACACACACACACACACGCACACACACACACACACACACCAAAAAAAAATACTGAATTTGTTTTGCTAACCTCATTTTCCGCCCAAATGTAGCACAAGCGCTTCAAAACCGGCGAAAAGTTTTAAAGCTCGCCCTTATTTTATTCAAAATTTACGAGGGATTTTCTAAAATTTTCAATGGGAAAATTGTACAGAATTTAAGCTGAATGGCACCGGTTACCAAAAACGGGGGGAAACAGGCCCCATTTTTGCATTAATTTTTTTCGGAAAATCATAACTCCTCAAAGAGATAACGGTCACTTCTGAAACTTTGGCATCTGGTTCGGACGGCTAGCGCAACATTTTGGGGCGGAGAATCAGCGTTGGACAATGCGTAATTTATTTTTGCGGTAAAAAAATCTCTACATTGTTTTGTTTTTGAACGGGGCCGGGGGCCACGCTGTAGAGTCAGATAATAGAGATTATTGTCGCCAGGAGAGACTTTCAAAAGGTATCGCTGTTGCTGACCGAAACACCTCTCTCTACCTCATCCCCTCTTTATATTGTTTACGTTTTTTTTTTGTTTGTTTTTTCTCGCATGTTTATGTACTCGCGACCTCCTCCTGCGTGGTTATCACCTCTGATAGCTATCAAGTCAATCGCTGAACATAGCGAAGTTGGCGCAGAGACCAAGCTCGCAGAGACTATATTCCTTGGGCGATAACAGCAGGCGGTTTACGTTGGGCCCCATGGTAAAGGTAAGAGAGCCTTTTTACGCAAATTGATTCTAGCGCATCGAGGTCCCGACGCCGAAGGAAGCACCAGTTATTGTCTAGAGTTCTTATTCGCCCCATAATCGCTGTTCTCTGCGAGGCCGAAGCGCACGTGTAAATAGGTTGTTGGCATGTTCCTGGTCTCTACCAGCACTGAGCACGCGCAGCACGACTGATAATTTTCTCGCGCTTCATAGTTTTCGCAGTATTATTGGCGACGTGCGCGACCGAAAGCGTCGCTGTGGTCGGCCTTCCACGATTGGCCGAACGCTGACTATGATGTCGGAAAGGGGATTTATCATTGACGAAATAAGAGGAATGAAAGAACTTTAATTTTTACAGTGTTGGCAGTGTTCCTTTGAGAGTGCAATGATTTCAAGCTTCCACCATGCTATTTACAAACACCATCGAACTTGTTGTTTGCAAGGTAATGACGTCACAAGGGGGAACCATAGGAGGGCGCCACCGAAACATCTCGCCGCAAATGCAAGTGCCTCACTGGTGCCCATGCGTGCAAGCATGTGCAGCGTGAGCGTGAATCTATAGCTTTGGCAAGCTTCCGATTGCACGCACTTGCCCGCACATGGCGGCGGCCAGATGCTCTGCTTGCAATCGTCTGTACTGCCAGTAACAAGCAGAAGACCGACGGTATAGGTAGAGTGAACTCTAATGCAGGCTCGTGCGACCATTTCGTGGATCGCGCGTCCACGCTGATGATGATCATCATGAGGATTACGATGATACCGAGACGTTATTGTTCGTTTTCAGCGATGGAGTTTCATACGGTGGTGTTTCCCATGCCGCCCGAGAGAACAACGCGAATGACTTTCATTTGTGTCGGGCCGATGCACTTGAAACATTGTAAACCCGACGAGACTAAGGCCTGTACGCGATATGCGCCGCATGTGACTAGATGACTCCTAATCGATGACGTTCACGAGCAGAGTTGTTTGCTAACTTCTCAGAATATTCAAAACGCAGTTTTGATTCGTTTTATAAGTAATTAAATGACTGGTGAATTGTTTTTAGACGGGGTTGGAAGGGGGGGGGGGGGTCCATTCTTGGTTCCGCAAGGATGCTCCGTGTAACTTTGGCCCTCGGTGTACAATTAAATTGTATCTGCGTTTTCTTCCTTTAAAAGAACAAAAAGAAGGAGGAGTAGAAAAATAGAATGCGAGAGAAGCACAGGACATTCGTCGCGCGAGACCCTTCATTAAGATGGCCGCGGGATGGCGGGTCTCTCCTATGGTATAATCCTCGCGCGGTGGGGCACTTTCTACGGCGCGCAGTTGTCGGATCCATTTCCTTTTGCCGCGACGCCCCTAATTACAACCATTACAAGCCAGGCCAGGCGAGGGCACTTCGTAATTAGTCGTGTGAGGTTGAAGCGCCGCTGTAGAGCATTCGGGCTCCGCGCCACGCTCTTGTGCGAGCGCGTGCGGGCCTCGTTTTCTCATCTCCCCACTTCGTGGCAGCACTCCCCGCCACCCGCTGCGTGCTGCTTGCGAATGTTGGCGCTGGTGTGGTCGAGTTTGGGCCGAGAGCCCCGTGACGAAGCCCATGCCGTGACGAAGTCTGGATTCCGTTCCGAGGAAGTAGACCTGCTCCTCAGCGCGCGCGCGCGCGCTCGCTGCCGGCGATGGCAATACCCGTCTTCGCGTTGGCGAGGTCGTGGGCCGCGGTTGGAACCCCCGAAGAGTCATCTCGCACACGCGGTGCGGTGGAAATGACTAAAGACGGGAAAGTTTTTAGGTGCGTGCAGGGAATGGATAGTTGGAACCACCGAACGGCGGACCGAATGATTCATCGTGAGCTGCGTGCAGCATCATCCTGCTGTTTTCTGAGAAACCTTCGCGCCGTCGCGGCGCTCGCTGACCGCGAATGAACGTGGGGTATATTTGACGAGTTTATTTTGTTGGAGGGTGAAAGTGACTATATGAAGAAGAGACCGACTCGCAGAACAACCAATATTCCAATTTCACGGTTGCTTTCAAAACTTCCCTTTTTTTAACAAAAAAAAAAATTGTTTTAAAACTAATATTGTCTAAATAACGTCTAAAATTGATTCCCCGATGGAGGTAAAAACTGGCGTTTATTTGTTTACTTATGTTTTAACCTGACCTTTTAAACAGAAAACAAAAAAAAGAAATTCTACTGGTGATGCCCAAACGACGTCTAAAATTACGATGCGCAACGAGTTCCTTTTTTTCCCCTAAAACAATGCAGTGGAACGCAACCAGAAAACGCCGTGCATTGTGTCCGAGTGCAGTTCATAGTCTTGCAAAGAAAATAGCGACGGTTGGAAGTCGGCGAGCGGGGTGAAGAACGCGGAAAGCATCTTTAATTTTCTCTTACCGCTGAACAAGAAGCTTATCAGGAACAAGCAGCCCATCATCATGACATATCTATGTATACAGACCATGAAGAGTTCGGAAAGACTGCGCGAAGAACTTGCAGTGCTTGCCGGAATTTAAGATTTATTAGGACAACATATTAGTGTTTGTTTTCAGAATTTCATTTTTTTTTTTATGGGGACATGTATGTCATGGTGTGACATGAGCGAGAATTTCTTACTCCAACATTTTTTTATGACCAAAATACTAATTATGGAGCAAAAAAACAAAAAAAAAAAAAAACACTTGCGGATATTCGAAGACTGTAAATATTAAACAAAGACGAATTAGATTTACGTTTTTTCCCTGCCTTACCATCTTAACGCTTGTTACTCTCGAAGGTCAGCAAATAAAACCTAATTGCAAAAAAATGCCATAAAGTTGGAGTATATTATAAATAAAGAACTTAGTAGAAGCAGACGAATTACCCTCAAACAACCCATAACGCGCAACGCCTCCACTTGGATTGAAGATTAAAACCGCCGTCGGTTTCAATAGTTCTCATTAACGACGTCACCATAATTAAATATACGGCTCCGCGTACCTCGGGGATGTGGAAAGCAAGGTCGAAGCTCTTTCCTCCCTGCCCGCCTTGTGCATCTTTCGCAAACCGCATGGCGCCACCGTTTCTTCCCGCGGATACCAGCGTGCACGAAAAGCCAAGTCCCTACCTGCCGGACTTTGTGATGATCATCTCGGTGCCGAGGTCGTGGAACTTGTCCCAGAGGTCCTTGTTTTCGAGGTGGCAGTCGACGTGCACGAGGTCCTCGGAGTTGCAGCGCGGCTTGAGCCCGGCCGCGTACGGGTTGTTCGAGCTCTTGGAGCTGCTCGCGCCGCTGGTGCCGGCACCCCCGGAGTCCCTCGAAGAGGCGCCGTCCTCGCCCTGGGTCGAGACCGCGGGCGACACGGTGCTTCTGCCGGGCGACGGCGACCGCGACTCGGACGGGCTGAAGGGGGCTTCGCTGGACGGCGCCGGCGACGCGGCCGTCGGAAGAAGCCGCTGCTCGCCGCCACCGCTGCACGGGGACGACGCCTCCTCGGGCTCCTCGATCGGCGGCTCTGCAATGGACGGTCGGACGACGGCACTCACTCACACGCACCGGGCCGAGGAACGCAACACTATACTTTGTTTTACACTAAGTCAGCGTCGGCGACAGTGGGACTTGAAGTGAAGTGAATATAGCAAACCACTCTTGCCAACTTGGGAGATTCAAAGCTCCCAAGTTGGCCTTTCTCGTGCACATTTGTTTCAATATGAGTCGAAGGTATTCCGGTCGACGTATATATTTCCGTGCACTCTAAAAAAAAGTGTCAATGTTGACTTTCGTAGAACACGCCCTATCAGGGAGAACAGTAGAAAGATCACAGCAAATGACGAAGCGCAGAATACGGTGAGATAAAAAAAAATGTCATGCGTGCAGGGACAGTGAGCAAGTGAAACGTCACGGTCATTGTATGACGTTTCACTCGTTTGACTTGTTTCACTTGCATTTCATTGCAAAGCGTGGAGCACCGAGATCTACACACTTAACCATCTTGCAATTTCTTGAAGGAACAACGATGACCAAATAATTACGGGATGACAAATATGAGTTTCCCAGGTACCGACCATCAGCATCTATGCAGAGATCATGAGTCAAACGCTTTTAGGTGAAACTCTCACGCCTTCCAGCATCCCCCCCCCCCCCTTTCTCTTTTTCTGCTAAAAATGAAGACGTTTTAGAGTTGTTTTTTTTTTTTTTTTCGCCCTATAAGTAGTGTTTTGTATCGAAGCCAGGGGGAGTTAGCTTTTGTCAGAAGCGATCGAAATATAACAGCGTACCATAATCCTTTGCCATTTTCTGAACGCAGCCATCAACAGGGCTGGCCGATGTCCTGCGTGCTATACAGCAATCTGCACTATCATGTTACCCTCTGTGAGTTTTTACGTGGTTTTCAGGAGCTATTATGGTTTGTTTCAAAGCAAAGCGCTCTCATAATATTTTTTTAAAACGTGAATATATCTCGCAAACATGCAACGTAGTCTAGCTCAAACGAAATCAGTGAATTGGTAAAACTGTGCACTAGCAACTCCCGTGAAAGTTTTCCCAACTATTTTCCCAGATTCGTGCGGATCTCGCAAATCGAAAGATTCAACTGTACAATTCTGAACATAACAAAATATATTTACATTTACACCAGAGTAAAATCCCAGCATCGCCGGGATCGGGTTGTATTTACGGTCATCAACAGTCAACAATCAAGTGAAGAGGCGATGCCCAGATGCAATCACATAGAAAAGCGGCTGCGTTAATGCACAAACTATCCCCGCTTGCAGGTGATTGCCTGCGGAGAATGGATGATGTATTCCCGCGGCTCATTCCATTTCTAAGGCCGGCATAAAGTACGTTTAGTAGGTTGCTATGCGGAGAGCAAGACGATTGCTTCTTGCACAGGATTTGTGGCAGGCACGTAGCCAGGATTTTGATTTGGGGGGGAAGGGGGGGGGGGGGGGGGGGAACGGACGCCCCCCCCCCCCCTCATACAGCAAAATGCTGTATGAGGGGGGGGGGGGGGGGGGCTGGCTACGTGCCTCAGGTGTGGTGACGTCAAAACGACGCCGATCTCTGATCGGCTTTGATTGAAAGGGTAGTGGGTAGGCCTCAAATGTTAGATGCCTTGAGGTCTACCCACTATTTTTTTTTTCAATCAGCCAATAACAGATCGGCGTTCTGACACTATTGCAATTCCTGTGGAAGAAGCAGACGAACTTAGGCTCCCCATAGACGTCAGGGTTCATCAACACGCACTCATCCCGGAGATCAGAAACCAGCGGTCTGACGAATGAAATTAGAAGAATGAAAGCCAAAAGGCATCCTATTTTTTTTTTCTTGATCGTAGGTCTCTTTTCATTATACAGTCGACTCTCATTAATACAAACTCTCTTAATTCAGACTTGTGGATAATTCAAACTAAAACGAAACTCCCATCCTATGCGTCTCTATGGGAGGAAACTCCCTTCAATTCAGACTTTGCTTTATTCAAACAAATTTTCAGTCCTCCTCGAGTTTGAATCAACGAGATTCGACTGTATACGCTTGCGAAGTGAAGTGACCTTGTTTGACCGGTCATTCCACGCACGATGCGCGCAGCGACGACACCCCCCGGGCAGGGGCGCAGCTCGTGCTGTGGTTACAAGTGCGGTGCCAAAACAAATCCACTTTGCCTTAAACCGAACACGAACGCTCAACGCGGAACCGGTATCATAGCCAGGCGCGCCGGGGAAGTCTTTTCGCGGCCTTATTAGGAGCCATTGCCAGCTCCACGCGCAGCCGCCTTTGAAGCAGCCCGACACGGCCATTGCCGTGGCAATAACGGAACAACTATTTCGGCGGAACCGAAACGGGGCGCATCAGCATTTCTCTCGGCGCGCGCGAGCGCACCCCGAACAGGCAGCTTACTCCGGAGGCCAAAACGGGCGGCGTGGTTGAGGAATGACTCAGCGCATTTCACGCCGGCGTAACAGCACGGCGCGACTACGGAACGCGTCTAACCGCTGCAACAACAACGGCCTCACGAACTGGCGGACGGGCGGGCGGGGCGGGGCGGCGCTGTTGGCGGCCAACATGGCAGTCACGGTTCCCGTCGAGGCAGTGCAACATTTTCCGGAAGGGGAGCCCGCGCGAGCGGCAGCGCGCGGAGAACCCTGAGGAGGAGGGAGAGGAAGAGGACGAAGAAGACGAAGAAGAAGCTAGGCAGAACTTTAGGCGGAACGCGGGTTCCTGCGACGCGCCGCCGGCACCGACTTTGGGGAGAGGAAGGCTAGGTGTGCGCAACTCGAGACCCGAAGAGGACGCCCAGGCGTGGGGCCCACATCTGGTGACCTACCGCAGGCTCGAGGAACGCGAGCCGCTGTGTCGTTTCTCGACCGTGGCGACGAGAACCCCCCCGCCGAATGTCTCTCCAGACCTTCCGACTTCTCGGTGAGGCGGGGGAGGCTCGCACGGGCCTCGCAGATGGTTCGCGCCGATTCCCGGGACCTGGCCCACCTCCTTTCCCGCCACCGCTTCTCAACGGGGAGTTGCGATCGGAGGCAAATGCCGTGGTTTCCGGCGCGTACGCCGCTTCAGAAGCCGAACGGAAAGGTAGGGAAATTGTATTTGTGCTTAGTCACGCCCACCGGCGGGCTGATTCAGGCCTGATGATGACTCGTACGGCTGCGACGCACATAGTCGCTGCATGGCGGGGAAAGCGACGCTCAGGATGGGCTCATCGTTAGAATTCATTGTGACCTTTATCCCGTGATCCGCGTTGCATCTTCTCGTGCCTTGGAACTGGTTGTGTTCATAATGCGCATTAAATCGCATTGTGAACCGGACGTCATTGGAATGCTTATTTCGTGGACCGGTAAAAGACGGCCATGCATATCGAGCTTAACGTACGACGTTCACCAGTTTAGAGGACGCTGAACATGGAAGACGTCAAGACATCCTTGCCGAGTTTAAAACCACGTTGAATCCGTGTGTATTACGGATACTACTTCAGCTGCAATGTTTCTGGGAGCGCCGCTCGAACTGTCGAAGAGAAAATGCTGCTTTTCTGAAAGGAGATTTCCAAATTTAAAGTGCCTGTATGAACAAGCCCTCTCCCTTTTTTCTATATTGTAGGTTGGCAACTGTCACACACTTACATATTTAAAAACACGGCAAGGGAAATATTTGCAACCGACCTATATGGCCTTTAGTATCGTTATTTCTCGGGCCGAGTAGGACCTTGAGGGTTGACGTTCGCGTGGATAATTCGAAATTGCGCCGAAAGCCATCAGCTGGATGCGAATGCGTTTCCGCGAAAACGAAATGCAGAGTGGACAGCTAGCGAGGCGCCACGAAGAGAGATCTATACGCTATTCTCAGCCCGTCCGCGGCAGATAAATGGCGGGCTTCCACGAAGCGGGGGCCAGCGTGCAGTACATGGTCTGTAAAAGAACTGTTTCGGAACATGTTCTTCGGGACTCGGACTCCCGATGACAAAACGACAAAACAAAACAGGACGCGTCGTATTACGCACTACTCGATAGGACAGAAAGTCCAGGGGAAAAGCGTTCAGTGTACCAGTCTGTGAACTGCAGCGCTCTCGCTATAGTATATTTATACAGCGTATCGTTCGGCCCCGGACGAGGCGATGCAAGGAGCGTGACATGGTCGAGCACGGGATCCCTATCAGGGCGTGTGCCCGGCACCGGCCCGGAATTCCCGATGAGCCGCTATCTTGGCCCGTCGGGACACAAAGCCGGGCCAGGAAAGTTTTTTTTTTTTTTTTGGTTTTCTTATTTCAAGTGCATTCTGCCCTCCCCTAAATGGCCGGCCACACTTTGCACTAAATGGATTCCAAAGACGGGGGCCATCTCTATTCCTTTCACTTGCACCCATGCCAGGAACCATAAATGCCTCAAACTCATCCGCCCTTCGAATGGCCGCTTCCGATCGCCCCTGCGTGAGTTTTTTTTTGTTTTTTTGTTTTCTTGTTTCTTTCATTTCTGTCGCGTTTTTGTTCCATGTTTCTCATCCATGAGCAGCACGTATCCCCTGACTCGTGGCTATGCGTTTCGAATGTGGCGTCCCTTTGGAACACCTCGCGGACCCTTCCCGAAGCACTTTGATCTTGACAGTCCTGGGCAGCGGTCCGTCACTTCAGATTTGTTCCCGCCACTTTGGTGTGTTTTTTCACCAGATTCTGTCGCGAGAGGCCTTTGGCTCTCACCCGTGCACGTTCAACGAACACCCATATTAAACCTATAGGATAACCCCGGAGACATATATATATATATATATATATATATATATATATATATATATATATATATATATATATATATATATATATTGAATTTACGAGCGACAGTCCATGCGCGCAGCCGGCAAAACTCGCAGTAACGCAAAACTTCTTTTTTTTTTTATAGTTAAATAGATAGCTTGGCAGAAATGTGTCCATGTTTGGTACGAGCCTAGAGATAAGGGGAGTTTGTTTCTTTTTTTTTTCTTCTTTTCTGTGTAATTTTAATAAATAAAGAACTCATGGCG